TCTTTGTGTAAATTCTTTGATTCACACAATAAACGACGCGAAATTAAAATGTCTTGGCTATGTAAATAACGCAACGATGTACCCTAGGCACTGGTTCCAATTTGCGGATGACACAGCAATATTAAGTGCACATGAAGAGGACAATCAATTGCTTTGTAATGTATTTAATAAATGGTCAACGTGGGCGGATTTGTATATTCCTGTTGAGAAATGCCATACTTTTGGAATCAAGAAGCAATCCTCAAAAGCAATTCAATACCAACCAGTTATTATCATCTCGGGCAAGCGTGTACCGCCGATTGAATGCGAACAGGGGTTTAACAATCTTGGAAAGCAATTTAACTTTAATATGGAATGCGATCAGATCAAAGTAGAGATACTAAGTGAAATCGACGAATATCTGCAGAAAATAGATCTTTTCCCCATGAATCCTTTTTCGAAAAACAGAATTATTCAGAATTATGTTTACTCAAAGCTCCGTTGGCGATTTTCTATATACCCCTTTACTGAGACCTGGATAAACCAAAATATTGAGCCAGCTATTTCCAAGTATATTCGAAAATGGTTACAGATCTCGATTAGTGGCAATATTACTCATCTAAAACTACCACTGAATCATATCTAGGGATTGACTTTTGCTCTGCTTCAGATATATATTTACAATGCAAACTTTCGGTTAGGCGCATATTGAAAAGATCTAGGAACAGTGATATTCAACATCTGTATTCTGTAACATCTTCCAAAAATATTAATACGGATGAAATAATTGAGAAAGTATCATCAAATGTAACAAATGGATACGAACTGAAAACCGGAACAAATAAGTTATTGAAACAGCAAAGTACAAATAATATTTGGGCAAATTTTATTACGCTAAAGGAACAAAGTATTATTATAAACTATCTAACTGAAGCGTGCAACAAGAAAATACTGCACTTTTGGCAAGAAATGGTTAGCAGACTACCCCGTAATATAACTTATTTTGCAAGAAGGGCTACAGTGCTTAACTTGAGCAACAATTCTAACCTCAAGCGGTGGAACATTCGAGATTCTCCAAATTGTGACCTTTGCAACAAAATTCAAACACAGCTTCATGTCATTACAACAACATCGGTATACGTGGAGGCATGATTCTATATTAAACACCATTCTTCATCACTTAAGGAGAGTGATGTCGGAAGACCTGGAGATTTTTGCCGATTGTCCAGACTCTGGCTTGAAATGTACGTCCAATCTGTTTCAAGCGTTAAGGCCAGATGTTACGATTCGTTATAAAAGAGACTTGTATGTGATTGAATTGACTGTCCCATATGAAACGAACTGCATGATTGCAAGACGACGTAAACAAGAAAAATATCGGGTATTGCGATCACAGTTACTCGTACCGTGTGATAGATTTAAAGTTATAACTTTGGAAGTCACTACTCTAGGCTTCGTCACGAAGAGTATAGGCCAATTTCGTAGGCTATGTAGGTTGTTAAATTTGCAAGACGATCGTACACTCTAAATCTCGCCGTGTTGCGGCAACACCAAAAAGGTGTAACATTACACTGATTAGGTGTAACGCGGAATTAAACACTGTTCGAGTGTAACATTACACTTCCACAGTGTAGCTTTACACTATTTTAGTGTTTTGGGAACACTTACTAGGTGTAAAATAGAAAATATCCTAATTACACCTAATTCGGTGTAGATTTGCATTATAACGGTGTAACCTTACCTCTTCTCCCTGTTAATTTACACTTTGCGATGGTGTAAATATACACTTATTTCGTGTAAAATATGCCAACACTTGCGAAGTGTAAATTTACACTTTTCCTGCCGTATTGTTACACCTAGAATGCGTTAAAATACACTGAGCTGCAGTGAAGTAGAAACTAATGTATTAGTTATTATTGCGGTGTAAATTTACCCTTAACTAGTGTAAATTTACCCAATGATTGTGTATGAGATAACACAATAATAATGTAAATATACACCGGTATGGTGTAAAAAGTATGAAAGCTTACTTAGTGTAAATCCACACTGAACCTGGAGTATAATTACACTAAGACCATGTTAAGATACACTGATGTAGTGTAAAGTAGACCGAAGTATTGACACCTTTTATGCTGTAAATTTACCCTCAAACGGTGTAAATCTACCCAAATCTTGTGTATGAAAAAACACCTTGATTGTGTAAATATACACCGGTATGGTGTAAAAAATATGAATGCTTACTTAGGGTAAATCTACACTGAACCTGGTGTATAATTACACTAAGACCATTTTAAGATACACTGATCTGGTGTAAAGTAGAAACTGGAATATTAACGAACACCTATACTATGCTGTAAACTTACCCTCAAACTGTGTAAATTTAGCGATCTAATTCTCGTGTATGAGACGACACCATGATAGTGTAAGGTGTAAACCTATATCACTGGTGTAAACATACAGAATTCGAATAGTGTAAAGTTTGTATGGGGACCAAAATATACTGACCGGCTTACCCTTCACATTAGGGCTTTTTGAAAAGTCGGTGTAAAAGTGTAAAGTATAAACTATTTTATAAGACTACCTTTAAACGGTGTAAACTTAAACGGTGCGTTTTGTAAGGTGTGCCATGCAGACCTCGCATTGTTCATTTTTTATTGCAATCTGTTACCTCCATATATTAAGTTTTCTCAATCTAATCTTTTTTTGGTGGGTAACTAGTAAGGGTACTAGTTACTTCTACTTTAATTTGGCCAGGATATACCCCCCCCCCTCCCTCCCCAAATATGCCCTGCTGGCTATGGTGTACATTATATGTCATAAATCCCTCCTTCTCGGTGTTTATCCTCTACAAAATAAGACAGCTAGAATTTTGAAGATAGAATTAAGCAACCTCGTCCCCAGGGTCTTCCTCGTGGTGGCGCGTGAGCTGAGGAAGACCCTGGTAAAATACGATGAAATCTCCAAGATTCTTGGAATTTGCACTGGATTGTCCACATGATTGAGATCAGTGCCTTCAGCAATCGCGTGCCATATATGGGCTCCCAGAAGGCTTAGCGGGCTCACTTCGAGCGCATCGTTTGGAAATTTAGGAACGCTTCTTGATATGGCCGAGAATATGGCCAAGTTTTCTTAATATATTGAAGAAGAAAAGAAGTAATACTCCAATTTTTGAACACCCACACAACAACTTTAAATGTAAGTGTTCAACTATGTCAATATTCTGAAGTTTCGTATGTAAATATGTGCCATAAATTGTTGTATAATTTCATGTATATTTTTAACCGCCGTGCCGTTGGCCGATTGTATATTTTTGTATTTGGTTTCAACAATATATTGTTATTAAAACTTTGTGATCTTGCTTTGTATTTACAGATTATAATTGCAAGCAATAAATGCTGTCATAATATGTTATTCAAGCAAGTCAAACTGTCGAAATTATGATATATAAAACGACAACAAACTGGAATATTCACCACAGGCTACAACCACTGAGCTATACTATATTACTGGAGGACCTGCACGGGAAAAAAAAGTGAAGCCAAAAACATGGCGGATTTCGGCCTTTGCTGACGCCATTTCCATGACAACTGGTCCGTATTTCTCATGGTAATTACCACTGACCAGGCTCGGATCTGAGCCCGCTACAATTTCCACACACCCCTGGTTTTCTTTAAAAAACTTTAGATTTTTGCAATTTTGCTCGGGTTTTGTAGTATTTTCTCGATATTTGAATCGATTTTTAAAATGTTTTCGAGACATTTTTCTAAACTTGGTTATTGGTTCAAAGATGTGCAAGTCGTACGAGTTATTCTTCCCGAGAAAGACAACAAAATTCAAACCTCGCTGTCCTCGCAAAATGTGAGCAAAGCCAAAAAGGATATTTGAATCAGCGAGCTATAAACAGGTATTTCATTCAATTTTATTTATGCTTTATCTTATCTCACATAAAATTGGTAGGCTTAACTTAAGCTTGACGATGAAATGCAATCTTTTTGTTAAGAAAACAGCCTTTTGCTGTTTTTTTTGGTGTAATTTGGCAATCTGTTATCTGTATATTTCAAAATTTGGTTGCAGAAACTAAAACTTTTTGTTATCTATACTGTACTTTAGAAAATGGTATTACAGTAACTCCAGACGTTCCTTCAAAGCAAACGGTATGTCAGGTATGTGTTTAAATATATTCAGGTTTTGTGTAATATGTGCCAACTTTGCATACAAGGCTAATCAATGTCAAGATTTTTGGAGTATACTCAAGTATTTCCCAAAATACCCCCCCCCCCCAAGAAAATGTTGCTGCTGTATGATGAAAAGGTAGTACATTGGCCATTTATAACACATTGTTGGGGGGCAGAGGGTTGTAGGGGTGATGAAAGCTCAGGTGGTACATAACGTATATCATCTGCAGCCAGGGCCATACACAGCGGGGAGGCAAGGGAGGCAACTGCCCCCAGAGAAAACTATATTCACGATTTTTAGAATGTCAATTATTCTTTGGATAGGCCTTACTCCCCCCCCCCCGTGAAAAAATCCTGTGTACGGCCCTGTCTGCAGCTTAATGGGTTTAACAATTTGGAACACCAACTACTGTATGTTGCTTCCCTTGCACTGGGAAGGTACCTTGTATCCTGGCCACTTTTGATTATTATACCATTAAAAGCCTGATAATTGCACCAATGGTTCTGGTGTCTCTGGTTTGGAGTTGAGTCACATTGTTTTGTTTTTCCCATCATCATTTTTGTGCTCAAAGTTACAACATATAATATATTTTTGTTTATTCCAGAATTATCTCACAATTGTCATATCATAATTTGGCATTTGTCCTGACTCACACTGGTTTCCCAATTAACCCATAGTGGCTCTGACATTGACAAGTAAAAGTAGGGCAGTACCAAGCAAGATGTATGGAAATTGAAGACACAAAAGCTGGATTAATTTTGAACTATTTTATTTGAACTTCTTCAATACAGTAGAATTATTAACAGTGAATAATTTTAAATTAACACTAAAATTATTGTAATTAACATGATGTAGTGGAGCATGTGTTAACTTAATAGTCTTAATTAATTAACATTAACTTACGGTAATAAAGGTTTATACTTTTATGTTATCATCACCATAATCTATAGACATTTTCAAATTTTGCTTGGGGTGGGGGTGTGCAGAAAAATTCAGGGGTGGAAAGTGAGCACATAGTGTGCTGAGTAAGATGCAGCAGGGTCTACCGGGGTCTACCATGGGTGTGCCCCCCCCCCAGTTTGTTGGGCAAACAAAGCCAGTTGGGCAGTATTGGCTTATTATTCTGTCAATTTTGTGGGAAATATGCTATCCAATAGGAATTTTTCGTAGCATCCTCCCCCCCCCCCCTGTTGACAACAATTTCGGAAAGTTTCTCTGGAAATTTGTTTATGACAACTCGGGCACAATCCGAAAAAGTCAGGCAAATTTCTTTCCGTCCGCCTAATTTTTTCCTTCCTGTATGCCCATGCTGAGGGTACAGTCACTAGTGGGGACAGAGTTGGGGTAAGGTTGGGGCACCGACCCCCAGGATACTTTGAGATTTTTGGCCTTGTTTTAAGTCTTATTTAGTTCTTATTTAGTTCAATTATACTGCTGTCATTTAATCAAACCAGCATTTAAATTTCTGGGGTGGGTGCAAATATCTCTAGGTGGGGTGGGAAAACTTTCTGAGGTGAAAATATTTTTGGGGGTGCACACCACCTGCATCCCCCCAAAAAATCCATCTATGATTGCCATCAGATAATTAAGTTACTGTGGTATTAATTATTATGACTTCGCTTTTGGCTATTCTGTATTTTAATGCCTTAGTTGTCCCATATGTTCTGTGATGCCCGCAATATAACCAATAATTCCTGCAAGACAAAAGACAACAATCATATTACACTAATATTATTACACATTTTCCCACCTCAAAAACAGCATTTATTATCAAAATTGTGGATACTTCTTCTCATCCATAAAACTGCATGTGTACTAATTAAAGTATTTTTACATAGTACTGAAATGGTGAATCATTATCCACTAGTTAATCATAGTTTCTCTGTAACTAATTCCAAGAAAGTCAAGAACAATGACAGGCAAAGATAACAATTTGTTCAAGAGAGAGGAAGGATCCACAGTTAGGTTAATTAATAAAAACATTCTTGCTGTAGTTCTTTGTGTATTCCACTTGGTTGTGGAAATACATGTCCAGTACATGATTTTTTTTGTAAATGATTCTTACGGATTGTTTTTAGGGACAAGTCATTATTAATGCCGGGTAGGGGGCTGGAGGAAATTTTTATGAATAGCAAAAATTTCAAATGACCCCTTATTTTTCTAACAAAATCAAAATTTATCCCCCCCCCCATTGAGGCACCATATTTCATAGCCCCCCTCCCCCCAATTCTGAATTTAATGAATTTAAGTCAGTTTCGTAAGCATTTTTCCTGCCCTCATACTCAGTTTACTTGCAGCTATAAAGAATATTGTAAATATTGAAAATGATAGCCAAGGTGGACAGGAGTGACTTTAGTTCACAATTACACAATAGACAATTCAGACTTTATACCTGAAAAGTTGTTGGCCCTCAAACAAAAAAAACACACATCAGGCCTAGTCTTTTACTAATTGATAAAAAACATTTGTGTCTGGTGGAAGCATTATATTGAAGAGATGGCAGAAGAGACTGTCAACAACATGCAGAAACAGAACATGCCAAAGAGGTCCGCTGTGTTAAAAAGCGTAAAACAGGACAACAACTGTCAATTGAATCTTGCATAGTTGCAAATACAGTGCATGACCCTTCAGACAAATTCTACGGTGATGATGAGGATGACAATTTCCATATACAGTAGTTAGAACACAACTTTAGGTTCAATATATTGGGCATTACTGTTCAATGTATGTATGTATACTGTATATATCCATTACTCTTTTGATATTACATGTTACAAACTATTCCATAGATTTTATTTTTTGCCCCCCCCCCTTTATGTTCAAAATATTTTCTGCCCCCCCCCCACTTCAATGGTCAAAACTTTTTGTGGCCCCTCTAAATTTCCTCCGGCCCCCTACCCGGCATTAATAATGACTGGTCCCTTACTGAGCTAGTGAATTTGATTGCATAATTTTCAGGGCTCTGAGAGGCCTCAGATTTAAAATCTTCTGGGTAAGCGTGCCCCCAGACCCGCTAACAGGCTCATGCCTTTGGCAGCTCCCTGACTGACCCACCCACCAATTTCTTGATGACACAATTGATTGTTTCCCCACTTCTGTTTCAGTCTGGCTATGCCACTGCTCACAACATCAAATTTAACAGTTTCAGGACTATTAAAATCAGGAGTTTTGTTTATATGACAAAATCGGACAAGTCAATTTATTGTATGCGGACCATTAACAGTTGACTTGTTAACAGTCGACTTGTTAACAGTACACGACTATATGTTGATGTCATATAACAAGTGAATCCAGTGTAGTGGCCCTGGCTATTTTGCCCTCGTTGCTCCCCTCTCTGGCCTTGTGCTTAATCCTGGTCTATATTAAGTGTATTACATTAACTAAGAAATTATTTTCACCGGAAAAATCTGTGTAAGACAGATCGCCAGGGCTAAAACAAAACAGTAAGTCTTATGACCACAAATTTTACAAGGTTTTTTTATGACTTTAATGTCCAATATTGAAATTAAAAAAATTTCGTACTATCCATCCCATGAATCTTACCTGTGAAACGAATTACTCGTCCTTTTATGTAAAGTAAAGTAAATTGTTGCATCAGCAAGTGGAGCAAAACGGCACTTTAATTCCTTCCAAGTTGAAAAAAACCCCCAGCAAAATACGAGAAAAATATATTATGTTTTTAACTAAAAACACTGCCAAAACCAGGGGGGTGAAAACGTCGTCTGAAGCTCAGGATCGCGGTTGGTCAGTGGCAATTCTGTGAGAATTACGGACCAGTTGTCATGGAAATGGCGTCAGCAAACGTCAAAATCCGCCATTTTTTTGGCTTCACTTTGATCACTGAACGAAGTATAGGAGCAGGTCCTCCAGTTATTATACAGCTCAGTGGCTACAACTAGAAGGTATGAATATTGTTTATAAACTTTATAATGTATTGACTGAGACGGTATCAATATTGACTCATTTAGCAAATATTGATATAATCTCCAAAGCAAGTTCTATGACTATGGATTTGTATGAGAGGAGAATAATTTTTCCTTTGTCTTTAATATTTATATTGTGCTATCAATATAGATTCCAGACAACCTTAAATATGCATGTTGCTGAATTCCCTGAATACATTCAGGTATATGTTTTTCATAATTTTTTCTGTGTTAGTGTCATGTACTCAGGTTGTCGTACTCACCTACATTGGGCTAGTATTCCAAAGGTCGTAGGTTCGATTCCCACCATGGCCAGGCATATTTTTTAAGCTTGCCCTGTGTGGATATATACTTAGAGTAACATCACAAACATTATGTTTCTCATATTTATACCTGAGGAATTCCAAGCTCAAAAATAATAGTGTACCCCTGATTGCCCTGAAAAAATATCCCAATATGCTAAGTACTATACAGACCCTAATATGGTGTAATAGTAAATGAGTCATGTTCACATACCGTAAAAACAATCATTTTCAAAAGAAATCTATCAGGCGCAGAACACAAATATATGAATATCCCCCCGCCGCATTTTTGGTCTAGCTACGGCCCTGGTCAAGTTGTGTGTTTATATGGAACTGAGGCAGACCAGATACCATCTGGAGTTCATTGTAGTGTTGTGCCAACTACCAAGAAGAATTCATGATCCATGTTTACTTGAGACTTTTCAGGCAGGTCAGCTCAAAGCACCTGTCTTTATTGCTAAATAAGAGCTGTTTACATTGCCCTCTGAAAATGTACTACCGTACGGAAGAGATAAAATGGCATTCTTACTGAATGTACCTGTGCTTGAACAAAGGTTTGAAATGCTATATGTACGGTACCGGATATCAAATCCAGGCTCAGGGCTGCCGAGAAAATTTGTTGGGCCCGGGGAAAATCTTCTTTGGGGGCCTCGTGACTAGACCTTAACTAGATTGCATGTGGAGCTACTGTAAGGGGCCCTCAATTTAAAGAATGCTCTAACCAATTTAAAGGACC